CCAGTACCATCGTCGGCAGCTGTCGAGGAGTCGCCGTAGCCTATCGGACTTTTGGTTGCAAAAGCTCACTGGCTTGGAGTCATTGCAGCTGATCACGGACCGTCCACGACCGGGGCATTTCAACTATGACGGCGACGATCTCAGTATTGAATTGAGTCAAAAGGAGACACAGAACCTGAGGGAGGTTGCCAAACATTGCAGGTCTAGCCTGTATGTCGTCTTGCTGTCCGCTTATTATGTGATGCTTGCCTCGTACACGAACCAGACGGATATCGCAGTGGGTATCCCAATCAGCCACCGAACACATCCGCAATTCCAGTCCATCATTGGATTCTTCGTCAACCTCGTCGTGCTTAGAGTGGATGTGTCTCAGTCTGCCATTGGCGGCCTCATTGGAAGGGTAATGAAAGAGCTCGTCCAAGCTCAGTTACACCAAGACATGCCGTTCCAGGAGGTGACGAAGTTATTGCAGGTAGTAAACGATGCTAGCCGGCATCCGTTAGTACAGGCTGTTTTCAACTTCGAAGCCCGTCCAGATAAGGAACACGATCCTGGGTCTCAGGATGAGGGGGCAATTCAATTTACTCAATACCGGCCCCTTCAGCCCCCGGATTCAGTTGCGAAATTCGATCTGAATGCAACGGTCACTGAATTGGAGTCGGGGTTGAGGATTAACTTCAACTACGCCACCAGTCTGTTCAACAAGAGCACCATTGAGGGCTTTTTGCGTACATACGAATATCTCCTTAACCAGCTGTCAGAGCTAAGTACAGAAGGAATCAAGGAGGATACGCAGCTGTTGTTGGTTCGTCCGCAAGAAAATGGTGACGCGCACCTACCATTGGCACAGTCCCCACTTGCAATGCCTGCTGAGGAGCAGAACGCAGCGTCTCTCAGCCAGGTCTTCGAGTACCAAGCTTCCCTGTCCCCAGGGAAGATTGCTATCGCTCAAGGGGGTAGAGTACTCACGTATGCCGACCTCAACAAGCGGGCTAACCAGCTATCACGGTACATGTTGTCCATCTCCTCCGTTGGGGCGGAAGAGCGTGTAGCTCTGATGCTAGACAAGAGCATCGAGACAATCGTCTGCATTCTGGCGATATGGAAGGCCGGTGCAGCATATGTGCCCTTGGATCCAACTTACCCGACGGAGCGTATCCGGCTAATCCTGGAGAAGACCCAGGCGAAAACTGTTCTAGTGAACTCCCATCATGCCTCTAAATGTGAATACATGGGCGCAAAGGTGATATCAATCGACTCGTCCGCCGTCGAGCTCGAGGTTAGCCAACAGCCAAGCTCCGACTTGCCTGCAGTTGCCGGCCTGGACAATTTAGCGTATATAATCTTTACTTCAGGAACTTCCGGCAATCCCAAGGGCGTTCTGGTCGAGCAAAAGGGTGTTCTACTGTTGCGTGATGCCCTCCGAGAACGGTATTTCGGCAGTGACTGCACCAAACATCATTCCGTGCTTTTCCTTTCTAATTATGTCTTTGATTTCTCTGTGGAGCAGCTTGTGTTATCGGTGCTCAGCGGACACAAGTTGATCATTCCTCCGGCAGAGTTCGTCGTCGATGAAGAATTCTACAGGATGGTCAACACTCACAATCTCTCGTATCTCAGTGGAACCCCATCCTTGCTGCAGCAGATCGATCTGGCACAGATACACAACTTGCAGTTCGTGACTGCAGCAGGTGAGGTGCTTCATGCCACACAGTATGAGAAGATGCGCTGCAGATTTCGCGGTACGATCTACAATGCTTACGGCATCACCGAGACCACGGTGTACAACATTATCACAGAATTCACTGCTAACTCGAATTTTGAAAATGCCATACGCGACGTGCTTCCCGGCACCCGAGCGTATCTGCTAAACAAGGCACTTCAGCCCGTCCCATTTGACGCAGTCGGAGAGCTCTATCTGGCTGGTGACTGCGTTGCACGTGGCTATCTCAATGAACCTCGTCTAACAAATCAGCGCTTCCTTCCCAACCCTTTCCGGAACCAGGAGGACGTTGCCACTGGGCGTTTCTCGCGACTATACAAGACGGGCGACCTGCTTCGATGCCGATTCAGCCATCAACAGCAGCCACAGCTGGAATATCTAGGAAGAGAGGATCTGCAGGTCAAGATGAGAGGATACCGGATCGAACTTTCTGAAGTGCAGAATATACTTGCCTCCAGCCCTGGTGTCCGGGAGTGTGCAATCATTGCCAAGTATGACAAGGACGATGGTTATTCACGGACCGCGCAGTCCCTAGTCGGCTACTATACTACCGACAACGAAGCAGTGTCGGAAGCCCACATTCTCACCTCCTTGAAAGCCAGGCTTCCAACATACATGGTGCCCAGCAACCTCTGCCGTCTGGAAGGTGTACTTCCTGTGACTATTAACGGAAAACTTGACATCAAGAGACTACCGGAAATTGATAACGCATCGGCGATGTTATCATACAGCCCGCCGAGGAATATACTAGAGGCTCGGGTATGCAAGCTGTGGGAATCCGTCTTGGGTATAGAACGATGCGGTATCGACAATGACCTGTTCCAACTGGGCGGTGACAGCATTATGTCATTGCACCTTGTGGCCCAGATTCACAATCAGATCGGTCGCAAGGTCACGGTCCGAGATATTTTTGAGTATCGTACCATTCGAGCCCTCCATGATCACGTTTTCATGAAGAACACAGATCCGAGTGTTGTGGCCCAGTTCCGTAGCGAACAAGGGCTAGTGGTTGGTGATGCGCCCCTACTGCCGATTCAGAATTGGTTCCTGTCCAAGCCACTGCAACATCCGAGCTATTGGAATCATACTTTCCACATCCGAACTCCAGAGCTGGATGTTGCTTCGCTAAAAGCTGCCATCGGCAAATTGCAACAGTATCACGACGCTTTCCGCATGCGACTGAAGCGCAAGGATAATAAATTTGTACAGGTATTTCCTGAGGATGCTTCTCCTGTCCAGCTTCGGGTGCTAAGCATGAAGGATGTTGACGGACCTATGGCCGTTAACCAAACACTGCGCGAATGGCAGTCAGGTTTTGACCTTGAGAACGGACCGATCTGCGCCATAGGCTACCTGCATGGGTACGAAGACCGTTCCGCACGGGTATGGTTCTCGATCCATCATATCGCCGTCGACACTGTCAGCTGGCAAATCCTGGTCCGTGACTTGCAGATGCTTTATCAAAAGGGAAGCCTGGGGTGCAAGGGTAGCAGCATCCGGCAGTGGTCTGAAGCGATACAGAATTACCAGCCGTCAGAGTCTGAATTGGATCACTGGAACAACCTCATTGCGCAAACAACTTCTAGCATCTCTGCGCTTCCTGCATCGACCGGCTCCCGCATACGTCTGACTAAGAATTTGGACACTGAGAAGACAGCTTTGCTGCTCCAAATTGGTAAAAGTCGACGTGAGGTCTCTGTGTACGATACTCTACTTGGTGCAGTTGGATTAGCGCTCCAAAACATCTCTCCAACTGGCCCAAATATGGTTACCATCGAGGGACACGGCCGCGAGGAGGATATTGACCATACACTGGATGTCAACCGCACCATGGGTTGGTTTACCAGTATGTATCCGTTTGAGATCCCCCATCTCAGAACCGAGAATCTTGTGCAGGACGTAGCCGCAGTAAATGAACGGTTCAGACAAGTCCCTGCGCGAGGCATTGGGTATGGAGCGTTGTACGGCTATACCCGACACCCGTTGCCTCAGATTACCGTCAATTACCTAGGTCATCTCGCTCGCAAGGAGTCGAAACCAGACGAATGGGTTCTCGCTGTGGGCGATAATAAACTCGATTATGGACTCATAACCAGCCCAGAAGATAAGGACAAGAGCTCATCCGCTGTTGACGTCACAGCTGTGTGTATTGATGGTACTATGGCACTCGACATAGACAGTGCTTGGAGCCTTGAGGAAAGTGAGAAATTTATCTCAAACATCGAAGAAGGACTGAACAAGATCATCGACAGCGCGGCAAGAAAAGAAGCCACGTCATCCGCAGCGAATCCTCAATTAACCGAGGAGACGTATACGCCATATTTCGAGTATCTGGAGCCGTCACGACAGGGCCCAACGCTGTTCCTGCTACCCCCAGGCGAAGGAGGTGCCGAAAGCTACTTCAACAACATCGTCAAACACCTACCTGGGACAAACATGGTCGCCTTTAACAATTACTACTTGCATAGCAAACGCCTACGCACATTTGAAGAGCTGGCGGGAATGTATCTTGAGCACGTACGCGGCATTCAACCACATGGACCATACCACTTCATTGGGTGGAGTTTTGGAGGAATTCTCGCAATGGAGATGTCCCGGCGGCTAGCAGCATCGGGCGAAAAGATTGGCCTCCTTGGTATTATCGACACCTATTTCAATGTCCATGGAGCGACACAGAGCATTGGCCTAGGAGACGCCAAGATCCTAGACCCTATCCACCACATCTACCGCCCCGATCCGGCAAATTTCAAAGGCCTCCCATCTGCCACGGATCATATCGTGCTGTTCAAAGCCATGAAAACGAACGATCAGTATGAATCCGAGAATCAGCGTCGCCTGTACGAGTACTACGACGGTACTCCCCTCAACGATCTGGAAAAATTGCTGCCAAGCGATACCGCCGTTCAGCTGGTTCCGCTTACCGACGACACTCACTTTTCTTGGGCCAGAAATCCCCAGCAGGTAGACCGGATGTGTGCGACCATCAAGGAATATATTTCTGGCTATTAGTCCTTAAATCGGAGCATATGAGATGGTTGAAGTAATGAAAGAAGCGGCATATGATAGAATCAAGCAATGGTCAAATCCCTGTGAAATCAGGTGCAGACAAAAAGCTATGAGGCGAGATGACGTGTGCTATTATCTATAGACAGCATTTCAATGAGCTTTGGAGCACAAATATTTTGAAATTGATTCCCCAATACAAGATAGAGATAGAGATAGAGTTCAAGTAGTGGATGGGAATGTCGAGCTGAGAGAACTGGGAGGGCAGGGGAGTACGAATTAGGAAGGTGCACATTGATTCAATTCCGCGATAAGATAACAGCTTCACGTGCCTTCCTATGACATCATCCATATTGTTATTATCAATGAAATACCCTAATCTCCAATATTTATCCACAGCTCCACTAATAAGTAGTATACCATTGGTGCTATAGTAACCCTGCATCACCATGATGCAACTGTCCTGTCACTACTCCAAAACTAAGGCCGACAAGCTCAGGATAAATACAACCCGTTCCATCGCCAAGATGTCAATCACGAATTGCAGAACCCACCGCGTTCTATCACTATCAATAAGTACAAGTTTAATATCACAACAATGACACACAAGCACGGCAAACATACTCCCCGTCTTCACAAGTACGGCCCTGCTTCAATTCCCTTCTTCAGAACACTCAGATTAACAAAACCAGGGTCGGAAAATGGATGCCCTCCACCCTAGACAGCCACCACGAATGGCTGGGCGGGCTAATTGCTCACGTCGACAGCAAAGCCGACCACGAGCTTCACCCGGTGATGAAGGAATTCCAACATCTCATTGAAACCAACACACGGATCTACCTCCTTATAGAAGCTATGTTCACCGAGGTCCCCCGCAACAGAGTATACGCCACAGATCCAACCGGATGTCCACAAATCCGAGACTATAAACATATGATCCGGGTACTGAATCATCTTCTTACGACGGCGCCCTCATGGAGTGACTTTACCCACCGCGTCGGTCTCGTTGGGTTACCGATTAATGCAGTGCTGGACTGGCCTATGGGCACACCCAGTGGGTACGCTGCGTTCCTCGATCCAGAGATCAATGCCATGATCAAAAAGATACTAAACGCCTGGGGCGAGTACTTGCAGTCACCTGAGTCAGCCCATGTGCTAGATAATTCGCAGTACGGATGGTTCGGTGAAACGGGGAAAAATAATCTTGTCACAGTCGCTAATGTAGGAAAGACGAACTACTGCTTCGAGGATATGTTTGTATGTAACCCCTCTCAGAAATACTACGGGTACAAATCATGGGATGATTTCTTTACCCGGGTCTTCCGGCCCGGTATTCGCCCTGTTGCATCACCAGACGACGACAACATAATTGCCAACGCCTGCGAGTCGCAGCCGTACAAGGTGGCTCGCGACGTCAAGGGAAGAGACATCTTCTGGATCAAGAGTCAGCCATATTCAGTCTTTGATATGCTGGCACACGATTCACTTGCTGAACAGTTCATCGGCGGAACTGTCTATCAAGCTTTCCTGAGTGCCTTGAGCTATCACCGCTGGCATGCGCCTATCAGTGGGAAGATTGTGAAGGCCTACGTTGTTGATGGGACGTATTATTCAGAGCCGCTGTTCGAAGGTCTGGGAGATCCACATCCCCATGATATCGATTCTGTTGGAGAAGTCACGGCCCAGGAGTACATTACAGCGGTTGCTACAAGAGCATTGATCTTTATCGAAAGTGACAACCCTGCGATTGGACTAATGGCATTCCTTGGCATCGGGATGTGTGAAGTTTCGACCTGCCAGATCACAGTCTCTGAAGGTCAACATGTCAAAAAAGGAGACGAAATTGGAATGTTCCATTTTGGCGGGTCAACACATTGTCTGCTGTTCCGGAAGGGCGTCAATGTCAATGAATTCCCATCTATGGAGACGGACCAAAACGTCCCAGTCAAGGGCCAGGTTGCTGTTGTAACCCCTTGAAGACTTGATCTGGACACTTCTCTGTCATGTACATATGTAAGAAATTAAAGTTGTGGAAGTGTAGGTTGACCCAGAAATATGCATCGTGTAATTTCATCATCGTCATCATGAACCGCCTATATCCTACAACGTATACCTGAACAAAGGTGACTTGTCACCCATATTCAACAACTGCTCCTCCGTATATTTCTCCTTTACCTCCGACTCAGACATCTTCGATCTGTTCTTGTTCTCCCACCAGAACGAAGCTTCCAATATCAATGCAAGAATCAATGCTGAGCCTCCAAACGCAATGGACAACCCAAAGCCGGTGTAATACTTCGGCTTCTCGTCGTCCATATACATATAACTTCCGATAATACCACCAATATTACCAACACAAATATTGAACGCCACACCAATTGCCCGTCGATTGGACGGAGTCAAGTTGTTAGAGGTCCAAGACGTGGTGGCTGGATGGACAGGGTAAAGGCCAATCATAGCCAGAATGACAGCGAAGAAGCTAGGACCGACATTTTCCTCCAACTTGCCATCGAATGAGATGATAATTCCGTATCCGACCGTCAGCAGTGTGAGGGGAATCACGACAAACGGCATTCGCCAATAAAACCGATCCGAGAGTCTGGAAAAGCACACGGCAGAGATGGCACCGGCGACGTAGGGAGGAACAGTCATTAGTTGGGCGTTGGTGCTGCTGAAACCCATAGCTTCAGTTATACTAGGAAGGGTAAATTTATTGCCTGGTCTTTCGTCAGTATACTGGTCAGTCGGAACGCTAAAGGAAACCATACCGTATGAACAGGCGGACTGGCATAGCAAAATATATGCCAGGATATACATTCGCCAATTCGTCATCACCGAAAGGAAATCCTTCCACCGGGACCGCTGTTGCTGGTCGTGCTCCTCGTCTTTGAATTGTCCTCCTTCCTTGATGAATTTCTGGAGCTCGAGGAAGCGAATTTCGTCTGGTTCTAACCATCGACCAGATAGAGAAGGTGAGTCAATAAGCAACCAGAAACAGGCCACGCCCAGCACCACAGTAACTAAGCCCTCGAGGATGAAGATCCACCGCCAGCCTGCGTATCCACCAACACCGTCCATCTTCGCGATAGCCGCCGCAAGCAGTCCTGAGAACGCGCCAGACAAGGCACTAGCACAGTAAAAATAGGCAAGGCGAGTGGACAATTCCTTTGGCATGTACCACTGGGTACAGAGGTAGACCGCTCCGGGAAAGAAACCTGCCCTGATTGAAGTCAGCCAAATAATCTGGTTTAACATTTTAGAGGCTACAAGCATACTCGAAAACACCAAGAAGAACACGGGTCACCATCAATCCGGCAAAGTTCTTCACGACCCCGGTCAATGTCATGATGATTCCCCAGGAAACGATTAAAATTCCCAGATACACAGATGGCCGTGAAAATGTTTTGAGCAGCATGTTACTAGGTACCTCTGTCTATGGTTAGATCGACCGTCTCCAACGAGAACCTACAGATTGAACTCACCAAGGAGGACATATGGGACAAAGAATATGCTTAATATGATGTTCCATTGAATGCCGTCGAGGTTCAGATCGTCCATCATGCCTTCAATCTTTGCATTTCCGATGTTTGCTCTATCGAGATGCGATATAAGATATAACACTGCTAGCATCGGCACGAGACGGATATCAACCTGGACAGTTGAATTAGCATCAAGGGGTTCATGATAACATGTAGGGGGGATACACACCTTGTGGCGAATCATCTTCCTCCGCTCCAGGGGGTAATTGAGATAAAAGTCTTCATCCTCCGGATCTAATCCCAAGACGCGGAAATTCTCAATAGTGACAATTGCGGGAACTTGCTCCTGGTGCTTAGGATCAGGAATTTTATCATCTTGGAGGTCCAACGAGTGTCCCATTTGCTTTGCAACCGACATGTTGACTAGAGACCTAGTAGACACCTACTAAATGAGTAACATGGGGTTTTTGGCAGTTGAGCCCTTGTTGGAGGAAGAGTGAACCTCGAATATATAGATCATCATGCTTTTCCGCCATGGCATCTCCACCCTGAGTCGAAGCTCATGTCGTTCCAGTCTAACCCCGCGCATTGGCGCATGATAGATGCATACTATGTCGGCTGCCAAGAAAGCTAAGAAAGTACTCCGAACATACACAGGGACAAATCTGGGGAAATGGAGGAGAAGCGGCGGAGGAATCCGGGGGAGGTGCCACCTTCTGCTAAGCCCCATCCACGTGAGGTGGCGGAAATGCAGACTAGGCCAGCGGAAAAGTATCCGCCCCCCGCAATTGGAAGCTACGTTATCCTAGCTCTAGACTTAGGTTTTTGCGTCTAGCGGGGTCAGGGATGCTCTCACTTGTTGAATGACACTAATTGTATTCTCGAGCGTGTAAACAGGTTCGATTGGTCGCTCTCACACTAACAAATGCCGAAGCTATATCCCGCTTTCCACCCACAACATAAAAGATAATATAAGATTAAACCTTCACGCACTTTCCCCTGAGCAGCATCTCAAGTTTCCATGACGTCGGTCAGCTCGTCCTCTCGGTCAGACCGACCATACCATGTCGCTACTTGATCCGTTTCTGGAAACCCTTGGCTCTGACGTTGTCCCCATCGACTGGACTTCTGTACAGCAAGTCGCTTTGCCACCTCGTTCGCTTCATTTAAGGTGACTAGCTTCCGCTTTTCCGGTCGGCCGCTAGCCCTTTCACGGCATACGTCGCGTAAGGTCTTCTCCGATGGGCATGACTCAGGAAGGAAGGACTCTGGGTCCACATCAACCATGTTTGCATCCGTTATCCAGCGGCCATTCCAAGATCGATCGCGAGCTCGAAAGCTAGGTGGGTCCGAGGTTGCTCTAAGCGTCCAAGCGTCCTCTTCTAGCTCTAGCGGTGTGCTTCCGGTGGCATTCTCACGATAGAGTAAGTCAGGACGACGGTCCAATATCAGCTCGAGAATCCGGACGACTTCATGTTTTACTGCGTAGTGCACAGGTGTATTACCCGTGCCATCAAGCAGCTCCAAGTGTTTCTGTTCTGTGCTCTCGGCAAACTCAAGGAAAATGCGTGCGATATCAATCAGCCTATCTGCGTCGGATCCATCAAAATAGGCGTGATGCATCCAGCGGGCAAATGGGGTGACAGATCCTGGTTCATCTGATGAGCGTTCTACTAGTAAGGAAGGAACCAATCGAGGATCAAGCAAGCTAAGGAGTCTCTCGATATTGCCTGGCTTTCCTGAAGTGTCGCCATCAATTCCACACAGCAGCAGATGTATGAGGTTGTTACCTCTGCTATCCCGAACTGTCTGGCTCGCACCTGCTTTGATAAGAATATCGGCATAATCTGCTCTATTTAGAGAGTACGCAAGGGCTAGTGGCGTGTATCTTCCTGCGGACCTAGTCTCAAGGCACTCCGGAACCTCCCGCACAAGATACTCGACAAGGTGTCGGGACTCCAACGTCGGCGTAGAAAGGATGGCGCAATGCAAGACCAGATTGTCTGTCACAACACATGTTAGCATTCGGATATATAGATATATAGAAGGCGTACGTACCTTTTGCATTTAGCCAGCTCATTAGAGACTTCTCAATGCCACTGCTTGACTTTGCTAAGAGCTTCAGCCTATGGTCCTGCCCATGGGTCCTGGAAAACTCGACATAATGCCTGCTTGGAGCAGTGCTCATGTACCATTCAGTGCTCTTCAGACTACCCAGCACGGCGGAAACAAGTAAGGGCGAGCTTTTATTGGTGTGATAGCGCAGTTGTCCGCGCCCAGCAGCTGCCCAGTCTGCTCTCTTCTTTCCATGAATAGAGAGCCCCTGGTAGTATTCTGGCTTTTCATGCACCTGGACGCCGCTTTCGTGAACAAGAGCATCTAGTGGGAGGTCCGCTCCTGTTCTCCTGATAAGTTCTTCAAGGCAGCGGAGTCGACCTTCTGCTATAGCTAGATGAACCGTTTTATTTGGCACTCCAAAAGCGGTGAACTTAGAACTGGTGTCTCTAGAAGTCAATTCTTCTCCCATGTCAAGTAAAAAGACAAGTAACTCGACATTGTCCATCCAAACGGCATACTCGAAAAGATCAGATGGCTTTCCAAATGGGCTCTCGCGACATTTAGCCTTGACATCAGGACTGGTGAACCATTTGGACTTTGGGCAATACCACTTTAGTACCTGAAGTGGAGTAATATGACACTCCACCTGCGTGGCCACCTCACCTATGTCATCTATGGTGAACTTATCATCGACTATCTCGCTGTAAATGCGAAGATTGCCACTATCCTCCATATCTTCATCACTGCAATCACTGCCTATCTCAAACCTCTCGTGGCCACTAGGCTCCTCTTCTTTATACTGTGCCTGAACAATATCCAAGATTGCTTTTGCCACATCCAAGTGACCCCGAAGTGCTGCGATTGAAAATGGAGAGAGTCTGTTAGAGTCTGTTATAGCCATGCGCAACGGAGGCTGTTGCTTTCCCTCGCCCCACATGGCCAGTGTTAGAGACTTAATGGTGTCTAAGTCACCACGCCAAGCTGCCTCAAAGCTTTAAGATGTTAGTTGTCAATCAATGCCAAGGAACAGGTCTCTGGAACACTCACAGTTTGATATATCCATCCTTCTTTTCATCCGTGAGGTCAGATATATTGAACGTAAATTCCAGCTCGAAAGGGTCATCACAGTCCCTGTTTGGTGATGATGACCCACCCTCATCAGCCGGTGCTACGAAATCGGGAAACAATTCCTTGAACGTCTTGGCACCTTTCTCGGACAGGGCAGTTTCTAGTTTCTCGAAATGGTCGACTAGGTCCCGTATCGCGTGGAGCTTCGACTCAACCCCTTTCCTGTTCTCAGAATCGCTGATTCCCTGTTCATATACTTTCAGACGTTTCTGGTATGATTTCTTTGCCTTGCCCAATTCCCGCTCCGCTGTCCACAATTGATATGTGTTGGCTTCGAAATCCTTCAGGTAGAAGGCATCAGGCTCAAGCGCCCGTGGCGGAGTTAAGTCAACAACTTCTCCTTGGTATTGTTGCAATTCCTTGATCTTATCACGGACACAATCCAGGAGCGATTTACCGTGGAGACTGTCTCGCACGTAGTCATCATCTTCAACTTTATATCCATCTGGCGATAATGTGTTCGGGTCAACGCCACGAGCCACTAGCTCTTGAGCCACCTCTGGTAATTCTTTCTGAACAGCTAGGATAACGGGCTGGGTAAAGTTGTGTCTGAAAATTTCACGATTCCTTTCTGATGAGTTTGTACGTATGCCGTCCAGTACCTGACCAGATTTCACAAACTTCCCAAAGTCGATCGAAGGTTCAGCGCCAGCTTGGAGAAGCTTCAACGCACCAATTGGATTCTTTGCATTGATTGCGGTCATGAATGCGGAGTAGGCATCAGGGTTCCAGGAATATCCGACAAAGGCGAGATGGTTGATAGCTTTCACTGTGACTGGTTCGTTCTGCTCGAGGAACACATCAATAAGGTCGTCATATGTTGAAGCAGCAATATAATGTAAGGGCGTGTTGTATTTGAGGTCAGCCTGGGCCGGCGAAGCACCCAACTGAAGAAGCTTCTTGGTCATCGCTTTAGCCTTTTCTAGAGGGAGTTGAAGCGTGAGTACTAGTGTTAGAATTGCACCTCTTGAGCTATTACTATGGCTATTCAGCAACTTTATTGGGAGCAACACGTCAGCTCCAAAGGACGCAACGAGTTCTTCTACCACGTCGACGTGGCCGTTGAGTATGCCAAGGTGTAAAGGAGATGTATGGCTGTCCCAGGACACGGCATTTATATCATAGATATCCGGTTCTTGCGCATTCTCATCTTCGGGTAGACTCTCGGCGCTAGTGGCATCGTCACCTTCTTTCTGGACTTTGACAAATGATCCAGAGGTATATGAGGTTGTGTCAGCTTCCATGCTAACTGTTTCGATGTCATCTGGCTCGCTTTGCGCTTCATCGGCACCATGTTGACTATCTTGGGCTGCTTTTGCTTTGCGAAGCTCCTGCCTTTTAGCCTCCTCGGCTTCATTTTCTTCGCTTTTGTGGAGCAGTATTCTAATAATCTCCGCACTTCCTCTAGCAGCTGCGATATGTAAAGCAGTCCTGCCATCTGCCAAGCGAGAGATTAATCTCGCACCGTGATCGACCAGGTATTGTACAATATCTGGTGTAGAAGCCATACAAGCCAGATGCAACGGGGTGCGTCCCGTATAGTCGCGACTGTTCGGATCCCTTTCTTCTTGAGAAAGCCACTCCTTGACAGCAGCGAGATCATGGTCGACTATAGCCTGGCATAGGTGCTCGGTATTACCCACATAAGCCATTTCTGCTTTGCCGATTAGTAGACGCCACAACAGTTCAACAGAAACATGGAACACAAACCTGTCCAGTCGGTCTCTGTAATAGGGTTAAAGCTGCCAATTTCCTGGCGCCCTGGATCATCTTTGATGAATGAGATATCTCCAGAGATATAGTTTTTGCTTTCTTTCTCTGCGACTTCCTTTTCTTCCGGGGTCACAGGCTCAGGGCAATAACCACAGCAGTCGTGGATCACATCCTCCACGTTACCAAAAAATGCAGGATGCCGATGCAGATTGACGTCCCTGTCCTTTGGTTTGTTCCATTCTGCATTGAGAAGTAAGTCCTTCGTATAGATCAGCCGCTCAATCCTCTTAGCATGGAACTTCGGCCCATAGGGAATCGTCTTGGAGTGGGGTCAGCACAAGTAGCTCTATATAATGGGGAAAGGTATAAAATACCATAGTATGATAGTCTGAATATTCATCGCCCTCCATCCATTCAGGAGTTTCATCTTCCCACTCACTTTTAATGTTACCATTCAGTGACCTGAGGCTTCGCATCTGCTGTTGTCGAGCCGGACGGCCGCGCTCCTCTCGTCTCTGCTCTAGATAGGCATCCCTATCGGATGACTTCGGCAACCTTTCTAAAACTAGAAGACGCGCTAGACCAACAGTCCTTGAAAAGCTCCTCTCATAGATCGTCTAGAAGCACGTTAGACAGAGACGCTCCCACGCTTGGGAAAGGGGAAGCCTTACTGGATCGACACGACACCGCTCTAGCTGTGGACAGAATATTTCAAAGCCTCGGTGTGAGTATTTAGAAAGGCGATTCTCATAAGATGGCGAGCGTCTAGTGAGGTCGATCGTATTCGTCTGGGTGATATAGGCAGCAAGAGCACGTGGTGAAGCATAAACTTGCCTACCATCGAAAGCGGCACAGGAACAGTCAACGTCGAACCCGGTCAGGATCTCCGAGATAGATTTGTATATACGAAGGACAATCTGTACGTGGCGTGTAGGGTATTGTGAGACAATAGTAATTGTGTTCTTGGTTCGTATGGTTGTCGTCTCATAAAGAATGGCGTTTTTGATCTTGTCTTCAATCTGTTTTATCTTTTCAATTGCTTCTTCTTCGGTCAAGCCATACAAGAAGAGGTCGACGTCAGAAGCAGGTGCGTACTTGTCATGGTAGAACTGTCGTAAGGCACGCTTTGAGCCACGGTACTCTTCCGGGACTGGCATCAGGCACGTCACCACGGCACTTCCTGCGACGACGACATTGCTCCAGTCCATGTCACTCAAAGATCCTTCCGAGAAGATGTTGAAATTATTCCGGAAGTCCTCCAAGCTCGACACCACCGCAGGATCGCCATAGGCCCTACGAGATTCTGCCTTCAGGGGCATGACATATTTTTCCTGGAGGTCAGGTGATTCCGAGGATGGATCTCGAGGCCGACTTGGAACAATGGTCTTCTCATTCGTGGCATAAAGTGGTACGATATTGAGGTGATTGTCCCGCAGCGCTGGATGCGACGGCTCCTGAGCAAACAGCTTACGAACGACCGCTTCATACTCATTGTACGGCTTAATGAGTTGACCAATTGGGGTATCCTGGTTTTTGTTGATCCAGTCAATCAAGCCCTGGTGCTTTGCTGGCAATGATGGAAGAGAGGGCATCGCTGTCATGATGTTCGCCGTCGGAACTCAAAACTCGATCCCGATTATATCAAAGATATATGAAAGATATAATATTCAAATTGACCACAGGTTTGCAGCACCCGAAATTAAGAGAGAGAAAAAGGCAAAAATATCTAACACATTCATCTCCACCAGCAGCTCAAAGCTCCTTTAAATCAAATTTCCAAACAACTTAAGTTTACCCCCTAGGCGGCAGAATCGGTACCGCTCTCCAGGCATACGGTCCCACTATTCGTCTTATTCTAGGCACGGCTAGGCAGGATCAGGCAACCTATTGGGGAGTGCTTGCCGATCACCCAAGCTCTCAGTGAGATGTCTGGCGCCAGCGCTGCGATCAGCTCCCCACTCTTGGCGCCACCAATATAATCTCGATCTGATTCCCACAGTGAAGAGAGCCATCACCGTATCAGACTCGTAGATTCGTCATGGAGACATCACTAATTATCCACAGCGGCCAACCCAAATTTTCTGCCCCCCTAATGCTGGCTCGAACTCTATCCCAAGTTTCCGTGCCGCCCCAGCTGAGTCGAGATAGAATTCAGCCCGGAGACACTTAGACATAGTGGCTATACATGCTCTCTCCACGAAAAATTCCCCGGCTGTATGTTCCAAATGGATGGTCATCGCTTCCACCCTATCGCTGAGGTCCGCCTGTAAGTGTCCATCTTTGACCCTTAATGGAATGATGCCATAACCTGAACGGCTGTAGATTCCAGCATACGCATGCAATGGGAGGGAGTGAGGAAGTGACTTGGCAGACAGAGAAGGGAATAATCGTTTCTTCGTCTCGTAGATGCCCTCTGAGCTTTTTCCCATGACTTCAGCCATCCTCATCGTCATTTTTTCGATAAACTCTGCCCGCTCACTGCCCGACACTCCCAATAACGCATCGATGAGGTATAAGTATAACTCCAGCTGCGCGTTTCTAGCCCTTTGAGTATTCCCCATTATCGCAAACCCAAACTACTTTTCAGCTATGAAGCCCACCATTATCCCATATACAGCCCAGCTCTCACTACGCGAGCGTACAAGTGGATGGTGCAGGTGGATACACAGTATCCTTATCGTCTCTGGTCCGGGGACGAATGAGGGATGCATGTCCTTCTGGCAATATTGGTGCTTTTTTGTATATCATGGCTCGCAACCATTCTGCATAATCGAGAACGTTGCTGACCGTGGCTCCTGCTCCCGTCGTGGGTGCATAATTCATATGTGGCTCGGCCACATAGCAGCCCTTTTCTGGAACCCACGTGTAACCTTGGACCAACTTTGGACTAGTTAATGGACACTTTTTGACATCCTGGACAGAAAAGTACGTATCTTTCATATTGAGTGGGTTCCAGATGCGCTTTCGTAGAAACTCCCTCAGCGACTCGACTGTGATCTGCTCCAAAACATAAGACACTACCATAAACATATTGTTGCAATAGTCAAACGTCGTTCGCGGTGGATATGCTAGCGGAAGGTGTCTGAGTTTCCGGACCGCTTCGCGCAACGTTTCGTCTAGATATGCGCCTGTCATCGCAAATACATGGCCCGGTAAGCCAGACCGATGCGACAGAGCATATTCCAGTGTAGTATTCATTGTGGCATAGTCGTCGGCTAAAACAAAGCCATCTTGAATCAAGGATGTTGTTGACGTATCCCAGCTAAGCGGCGAGGGTGTCTGTTTTTTGTCATCCGCCACCATAGATAGCGCAGCAGCAGTGAAGGCTTTGGTTGTGCTGCACGTTGTGAACAGAGAATCAACGGTCATCATTTTGCCTGGAAATTCTCCAATGCCGTAGGCCTGGGTCACTCAGTACTAATACATGTGTTCGCTTAATCATTCACGTACTTTCGCGTAAGTGCTCGAGCCGTGAACCATGGAGATTGTAATGCCGGGCACCTTTCACTTCTCCAACTGCCTCTGTACTAGGGAGTCAAACCCCAGAGTAAAGGGAGAGTGATATTGTCGTATAGTCATGATGGTACGTAGAACCGCCGGTTAAGTGATAGTGCTTTTCCTGTGCAGAGAAGTGGACAGATGTGGGATTTAGGTAACCGGCGCATGGATACATAATCCGTATAGGTATAGCGCACCACTAGGCGGCTATACTTTTTGCTTATTTGCGGGGGAATTACTGTTCTATAGGTAGTACACAGATACCACAGGCAGGGCCTGGAACTAAAAGCTATGATTGGCACGGAAATAAGCACTAACAACATTGGCCTGGTATTCAGTCATTTCTTATGATTTCTTTGTATAGTACATCTTCTTCAATTGCTCTCCTGCAGGTAGCAGAAGGCCACATCCATGCTCCTAGATCATTTTCTAACGGTCTATCAGACAAGTCGACACCATACACCACAGCAATCAAACCCTCAAATGCCCGTTCCCTCTCTCCGTCGACGACCTTGGCCCCAAACGCTCTTCAACGCTCGTTTCAGGTCATCTCTACGTCCGCTGTAGGATGCTTTTAAGTCCCCTTGACCAATATCAAGTTCCATCGTTTTGAACAAAGTCTCATCAGGAGTATCAACTTGCGCATCCCACCTCGCACTCGCCCTCAACGACCCTGAAAACTCCCTGGACACCCGTGGTTTAGCAGGTCTGGAGTTGTTCAATCGCAGGAGTAAATCATCGAGACCGTCCCGTAGTTGTCCCTGGTCTTCCATAATTTCAGATATAACCCCTACTGAGTTCAGCTTTTCCGCCGTAGTGGAATGAGTAGAGAAAACTGCGTTGCGTATAAAAGCGCTCTTCCACTTCGAACTAGCATTCCTAGCTTGTTTAAATGTCGCTTCAGTAAATGTCAAGGTCGCTGCCCTGAGGCTAATCCTGACATCACAAGCCAGCGCTAAATCGACACCGCCACCGAAAGCGTGACCATTTATGCATGCAACTGTCGTTTTGGGTGAATGTTTCATCAATTCCAGTAAGGCAGCAAGATAATTTGGCCGGGGAGTTTTTGAAGCGCCCTGAGCAATGAATGGCATACTCTTTCCACTTTCAACTCCCATGCAGAAGTATCCTCCGGTTGCGGTGATGATAATATTCAGGAGGGAAGGGTCCTTGTTGCAACTTGCGATGATAGCAATAAGGTTCGCGACCATCTTTTGCGTCAACGCGTTGCCCCTTTTCGGTCGGTTGACTACAATCTTAAAGTTGCCGCCCGAGCGATATGTCAGTATCCTGCCCTTGGTGTCCACTGGGGCCCAAGAAGTTACTGCCTTGGTCGGTGTGTGTTCCGTATGGCGCGGTGGAGGCACCAGTCCGTGTGTATTCGCGAGCGCTATTCCAGCCCGACTGGCATTCTCCCTTGACAGTCTTGAGGATATCCACAAGCCAGTTTCGACCAGCTTCAGCATATCAAGACCAGTGTCAATACCCGCATTGTGAAACATATAAACTAGGTCTTCCGTGGCAACATTTCCCTTGGCGCCCGGTGCATAAGGACAACCCCCCAGGCCGCTGATACTGCTATCAAACACACGAAGCCCACAGTTATATGCTTCCCAAGTGTTGGCTACCCCTTGACCGTAGGTATCATGGAAATGGCCCGCTAACAGATCGAGAGAGATGCCATACTCCTCCAGGTACGTCAAAAGACTTCTTACTTTATCGGGGCAGCCGACACCCAGTGTATCTCCAAGGCTAACCTCATAGCATCCCATCTCGAGCAGCTCCCTCACGCAGTGGAGCACCGCGGGTGGCGCCGTTGGGCCGTCAAAGGGGTCGGAGAAAATACATGACACATATCTTCGCAAATGTCAGCCACGTCTACCCATGCATCCAGTGACACAAACTTACCCCCTGACAGCCAGCCCACGGCTAGTCGCCTTCTCTGCAATATTCCTCGCTCTTTCTAAGCCCTCCTCCACGGTGCAGTTGATATTGGCCTTACTAAACCCCTCTGTGGCGCTGATAAAGACCGCAACCTCCCTTACATCGTATTCGAGTGCTATATCCAGGCCCTTCATATTAGGAACTAATACTGGGAGACGGACATTAGGTTCCTTATGCAGCGTCTCGATATCTTCCATGCGCAGCACATCTCGACAATCCGATAACTGTGGAACCGCTCGAGGAGAGACTACCGATGTCAACTCGATGGTTCGCAGACCCGTTCCGCGCAGTCGTCGAATCAACTCGATTTTCACTGACGTTGGCACATGGTCTTTGATATTTTGTAGGCCGTCCCGCGGTCCTACTTCCACAATACGCACGGCGCCTCTAGGGTCTTTCATTGCGGGTGCGGCATCGGGCGCAACTAGGGAACGAATGGGACCGTGAGTATCGTGAAACCCAAGCGGCGTATCATTTCGTAACAATCGCCTCGCAAAATCAAATTCAGAAATTTTTCCTTCGGGGGTGTGAAGATAATACTTATACAGGATGTCAGCTTTCGGCAGTGCGGATGTTCTGGCCCGAAAAAATGTCCCCGCAAGCAGGTGCATGACGACATACCGGGCGCCTTACCCGTATTATCCTACTCTGTCATCACGCCTCGGAGTGGCGGATCAATTGAATGTCACCCTGCAATCGCCGAGGCTCGATGCTACCGAACATTCTAGTCTTTGTCTCCCCCACAGTGCACTCTCTGACTGTGCTGACTCTGACTCTGACTCTGACCATGCGTTTTTCTGGCAGAACTGATCAACGACTTGTCAACAAATCAAACGCCATCTTATACCCACCATCCTGTGGAATGTAACATTTTGGAATCTTTGAGTTTCAGCATCGGGTTTCGGGGTGAAGTACCCGTGACGTGGCTGCTTAGCACCAAAGGCGTGATGATTGCTGAGTGGTCATCAGGTTTGGTGCGGCGCAGGGACCATTCTCGTTTCCCGTGGTTATCGCATTGAATGAAATGATCTTAAGGTTCGCCTTCCAGATTCTCCTCCGGGATACATCTTTTCAAGCTTGTCCGACGGCTGATGTAGTTGATATATTTCTTTTTCGCTCCGATCACGACAAATCCTAGATCTAAGCATTCTATTGGTAACCTTACCTACTATATCTTACACGAATAACTTCATCACCGGGTCACCGACACTCATACAATATCACTAGACAGTATTGTCATAGACCGTACGATGTAAGCATTTCCAACACCAAGAATAGGGTGATGCAAGATATCGCCAGCGACCAGGATCTGTAACACAATCGATATACCCCTGTATCATATGTAAGAAACGATACACGCTCGTCAGGGAAGATCCATGAACAGCCCGTCTTAAATTGACCTGCCGCCACATCATCAACGCCCATCAGGTTACATTCCATGCTGATCAATTCCTCGCACGGCTGTCATTATCAACAAGAATTCAGAATACTGCGAACGAAAGATGTCGCTGTCAACTCTGGAACATTTACCTTAGTACAGACGATAGGAGTTGTTAGCACACATCTTAGCTGCTAGTAAGGCAGCGGAGATGTTGGGTTTTGAGATACTTTAGCCAAGAGACGACCATGTCCTTTGAGTCCCTGAATAGCCAGCCGATAGGGAAGCTGATGATCGCACCAGTAGAAAGACATAAGGAGTAAGAAGCCATTGCTACTGTAAGATGTTCTACAAGTTTAGCTTATGTCGCGTATGTCTGGACGCTAGCGCGGATTGGATACTAACTTAGCGAAAACTAGCTTCAGATATGTTTCGAACCCTCTAATTGAGGCTATGAGTTGTAGGTTATTCTTATTACACTGGCAGCTGTCTGTGTTGCTTTGTTTTCGTGGTTTGGTGGATGGTAGAGTACTTTGAAATGGTTGGCGTGATTGTTATATAGGGTAAGACAAATACTAGCATACATCAGTTGATAGAAGTTGGATGACCATAGGAGGCAGTGATGTTGACGTAGTAAGCAAACATGTCCAAAGATGGTGACTGCGGTCATGGGGTTTGTAGAGATGTGAATTGGGGGTGAAAAGTATCAAACATTGGAAGGACGATGGGTCCGATAAGGTAAGCGTTGCAATATGTAGGAATTGACAGCCATGGAGGGGAAGGAGCCAGAGCCGGCCCTATGGCTGCGTAGAGCGACTGCCGTAAGATAGCTGAGAATAGAAACACTCAAGTAAAATCAAGGTGAAAAGGACCATCCAGATAGAAGAGAACAAAATCAATAAAAAGAAGAAAAAACCTAGCCACTCTGCTAACAATCCGGAGATCATTAGTAGGTGTTTCTAGGGGAAAACCCTAGCCCGGGATTTTATTACTACGATCGTCTCTGTCCCTACACCTTTTCCCTGGTGGATGGAAAAGGACGTCGAGTGACAGCTTCGAACAGAGACCATCCTGGTACAGTGGCCACACTGCCTTAACATGGCGGCGATTCTGGCCACTGCACCATTGGGGTCTCTATTGACATATGCAATGTTCCCCAAAAATATAAGGGAAGACTGGTTTCCCGATTAGGAAGGTTCTGGTGCCTTGGGAAGAGGGCCGCAATTGTGGCCTTGCTGGAGGCTGATCATCACTCAACATGATATCTCAAGAATTAAAGTGCTTCTATTTTTGATTTGAGGGGGTAATGGTCAGTCGTTCTCATTGTTTAGCCTATCCTTAAGGGCTCAGCGATAGTATGTCGTTGAGATTTTTGAGTATGAGGGGGACTCCAGGAAGTGGGTCAAGTATATATATATATATGGTTGCGACACGAGCACTGACCATATAATGAGCCAGTAACCTCTCAAGAGCTTTGTCAATCTCGTCTCCGACTGATTGTATATACAAGTAAGAGGGGGTCAGTCGGATAAGGCTTGAGGGAAGCAGTGTATAATGCTCTTGTCGGCTATGTAATACTTCCTAGTGTTCAATTTTAGCTCCGATAAAGCCAGCCTATACACCCAGGGCGCAGTAAAGCTACAGCATAGACAGTTTATTAGGTTTTGTCTTCTATCAATAGTAAAGGACTGGCAAATTGCGAAAGATATAGGGCACAGGGTTAGGGTTGGATCACATGGAACTATCCCCGATGGGGCGAACCTTGAGAGATGCGGCCTGAAAGCCTCGGCGATGACGGTGGATCCCCACCTTTTACTCCAGGTTTGATGTGGAGCTCCATTGTCGTATATAGTGTCTCTTGGCTTGATTATTTATTGGGAGTTTTCTGCCGAGCCAGGCCTTCGTATTGGTCATCTCGCTAAAGTTCTCCATGACAAGGAGCACCGCTACTGGAACCAATGCGCTGCAACCGTGTTAGTAACTGTCTCCAGCTAACTAACTGACTAGTGCTCCGTATGTCACTGGCTACTAGTAGTCTAGTACCTTCCTCCTTCCCCAGCTTACCTACTAGTATCCTGAGGTCACTGCAGTAAACAGCACGAGCCAGGCTGTGTCCGTTGCTTCCGATTCTTCCGGGAAATGCGTATAAATACTGGTTAATTTCCCCGTCTCGGCTGTCACTTCTAAGAGGAATCGCTCAAAATCTGAGATCTGCGCATTGTTACCTTTGGCTCATTCCGAGACAAGATGCAGCTGCAGACTCTCGCCGGTTTCCTACTTCTCTGCTCGCCAGCGCTGGCAGCTCCGACCGCTACAGGTCCTCCCTCTACGAGCTCGCTAGGGCCTCTGCGCGCATTGAACTACAACAACCTCGGACCTGAGAACAATGGGACTGCAGCAGTACTCGTATACGACGAATTGTCTAAGACTGAGGCACAAGCACGCTGCGCTGCCATTGGGGAGAGCCTCTACCCACTCCAGTCTGCTCGTCAGTCTGAACGCTCTGAGATAGACTACCAGCTAGCCTACCTTGTCTTTTCAGGAGACATTCAATCAGATAGCCGTTTCTGGGTATCCACTGGCGATTCATCGAACGAGTGTCAAGCATATTCTCAAGGACAAAAGCGGCTGGTATCAGCACCGTGCAGCTCCAAGCTCCCCGTAATTTGCACATCTAGTGTCCCGCCAAGCACCGACAAAGATAGAACTGCAGTGGACTCGTCCAAGATCACGGTCAAAGCAGAGAACTACACCCTGACGGGTTATCGCGACGCACGATCGTTTCGGTTCCTTGGTGTTCCTTTTGCAGATGCCCCGGTGAATGAGTTGCGCTTCGCTCCCCCAAAGCCTTTCTCTGGCCCTAAGAAACGCGATGCGACCAAAGTGGCCGATAGCTGCGTCCAAGCCCTGTCGGCTTTTGGAACACTGGGGAATGGAGGCATTTCGGAAGACTGCCTTTACCTCAATGTTTTTACACCCGTCTTGCCTGCGAGCTCAAACGATAACTCAACCCGCAAGCCAGTCGCTGTGTACTTCTACGGCGGTGCATTCGTCAGTGGCAGCGCGTCTATGATTGACTACGACGGTGGAAACTTCGCCAGTCGTAACGATGTCGTGGTTGTCACTGTCAACTATCGAGTAGGAGCACTGGGGTGGTTGACGACTGGCAACCTCACCACAGGAAACTACGGCATAAGAGATCAGATCCTCGCACTGAAATGGGTCAACAGACATATCGCAGCTTTCGGTGGAGATCCATCCCAGGTCACCATCTTCGGCCAGTCCGCCGGTGGCCAGAGCGTTGTCGCATTGCTCTCCTCAACAGCCGCTCGAGGCCTTTTCTCCGGAGCCATTGCTCAATCAGCACCGGTAGACTTGCCCTGGTTCACGCGCGAAGTTTACAAAGACGCCATTGTGCCAGAACTATCCAAGGCCGTCGGTTGCAATCAAACCACATCCGAGAAGGACCTCCTATCCTGCCTGCGATCTGTCCCAGAAACCAAGTTCATAAGCAACACCACAGAATTCCAACAGGCACAGACGGCTTGGACCAAGACCCTCGCCTCAGACTATCTCCATGTCAGTCAGCTCCTCGCCGCCATCGAGCCACTCATGCCCATAGTCGACCCTCGCGGCGGGGTAATCGATGACCAATTCCACAAACTCCTCGCAAGTGAACGCCTTCCCAACCGCGTCCCGACCATGTTCACAACGGTCACCGACGAAGCCTCCCTCTACGTTGCCCGATCCGTGCCCGCCCTCGGCGCCAGCCAAACGGCGCTCAACACGTTATTCAAGGCCGCCTTCCCCGCCAAACTGGCCGAGTCGCTCATCAGCTCCAACGCCTTCCCCATCAACATGTCCGACCCCGACAGCACGCGCAATGTCGCCGCCGACGCCCTAACCCACAGCGAATGGAGCTGTGCGCAGTCCTACCTCCTCCGCAAAGGCGGCGAGCGTGTCTTCCCCCAGCTCTACGAAGTCGAGCTCACAAGAGGCCACATCCAGACCAACGTCTCCGTGCCAGAGATCTGCTCCCCAAATGATAACTACAACGCCAGCTGCCACGCCTCAGACGTGCTCCCCGTCTGGGGAACCCTCAACAGCAAAACTCGCAACGTAGAGCCCTACTATGACCAGGATGACATCCTCCATTCGCAGCTCCTGAACGATGTCTTCGGCTCGTTCTTCCGCTCTCGTAACCCGAACCCAGATCAGGCCTTCTTGCAGGTCCGTGGCCCGGCCTATGCGTCTACGTATGATATCTTCGTGACGAACGGGTACCGGGTGCCTGAGTATCGGCCTGAGCAGCGGAATGTCAGTTTGTTGGGCATGCCGCCTTCTTGGATTGATAATCCCGGTCTGTCGAGGAAGTGTGCTGTCTTTGAGGATTACGGGTTTACGTTTCAGAATGCCAACTTTACGGCTTAATGCTTAATACTCATGTATGGACATGGACATGGACGGTATGAGGTTAATGAGGTCGAGTTACGATAGTGAATAGAAGTAGTATACGCACTAGGAATCATATATGATTCATTAATGCATTAATGCATTCCATTGATTGAAAAGAGGGGAGAATCTAATCGTAAATCTGTCGTGAGTCGTAATCGTGATTCGTGATAGCCGAAGTTCACGCAAGTCGTGCTCGAAAAAAATGCAAGAGCAGCCTCCCAGAAACAAAAGCATAAACGTGATCACCGAAATAGCCTGCCCAAAGTCATGTCCATTTAAGATTCCATGCATCGTCATCAATCATAATTCGTAAAATTGAGCCGGACGAACTTAGCGGCAATCCCCAGAACTTTGATGTCAGGATTGCAAGACCCAGTCAGCCTTGCTCAAGTAATGGTTCGACTAGTGTTAGTCGGGTAAGCTGTCGTTAGTAGGGCTGTCAGTATTTGATAAGCTTCTACTTGATCAAATAAAACACATATCATTACTGTCGCGTTGCGATGTTCGATTTTGTACCTTTTTAGCGATCATACATGGCCGTCCTCCTGCCTCGGGGATATTCGGTGTCGGTCGGTTGAACTAGCACGCCTCTCTTTGAAGGACCCTGGACGGGTGCCGCCCACCGAGGGTTCCGAGGATCGATATAGCGCGCGCGCTCGGGCGTACAGGTACTATTTCCATTTGAGGTGAGATTTGCATTAGTGGGTCGGTGATAGCTATTACGTCGGTCGCTCATCGGCTCGAGGTCTGGACGGGGATGGACGATGTAGGTATCGCCAGTGCCGACGTAGCGAGAATGCATGCGGGTGAATACGGGCACTTCGCGACCAGGTGGGAAAGCGGGTGGCGGGTCGCTGACGACGCGCTCACGGATACCAACGCCTGATGCTCTGTGCTGGAGCGGTTCATCGTTGTACGCTTTGGAGGGCCGTACTCTTCGCGCCCCATCAGAGTCGTATAATCTTCCTGGATTAGAGGGATATGTATCGGGGTATGCGGGGTATTTGTAGGGATCGGGAGATAATTCCGTTCGGGGTCGGCGGGCATATGCTTCGTGCGAGTGGCGACGTGCATGGGACACTCGCGGCGGAGATAGATTGCGATGGTAGCTGTATTGGCCTGACCTTGGAGGCTCTGGTCCTGCTGATCCCGAGTCTTCGGAAGATGCATCTGATGCTCCGTACCCGGGCACTGTTCCCGGACTCACAGATCGCCCGTAGGCCTGTGGGTGCTCGCGCGTCCGCGACTTGGTGGACTCTTTTGCCCGCGTGGGTGGAGATGATGGTCGAGACGTATACCCGGCGTCGAGGTTTTCAGATTGCCGCGGAAAGTATGTAGATTGTACCCTACGAGTAGTGGAGGGGGGCTTGTCGTCGCTTCTTCGTTGCCTGTGTTTATGGTGGTTTCGACGCTCACTTGCGGTGGTAGGCTCTTGACGGTGAGGGGCTGTTCGACGCTGACTCCCAGGTGGTTCATCTTCTTTATGGGTCGGTACATCCTTCTGGCTGAAGTATGAATAGTAAGGAGCGAAATTAGGAGGGGAGGAGCGCAGGATATTCTTCTTCCAGTAATCAAGCTCGAACCGTCGGCTGACCTCTTCATGCCACTGTACCATCTCCGGGTCGGGTTCTGCTGGGAAAGCCCCTCTAGGGATCAGCTTGGGAAACGTTCCACCATTGGAAGTCTCAATGTCCCATAAATCAACCGCATTCTGTAACCACCTCGAGTGCTCATCCGGGTCGAGAAGAAGCTGGATTGTTTGCCATCGCACAAAGCCATTCGGCTGTAGAGCGGGGATAGAGGGTGGTTTGTAGGGATCGTTGGTAGGTTGAATGCTGTGGAAGCATCCTAAACGCTGGTATATGAACGAAAGAGCGGAAGGCCTCGTTTCAAGGAATAGTACGTCGTAGTTACCGCCAACCTTTCGGTAAAATGCTGCCAGGCGATCGGGGGTCAGGTCCGTTGTCGCGAATTCGTCGAAGGTAGTCTGGACAGAGTTCAGCATTTGGGGCATTGTGTCACCTCCTGCGAATGCGAGGAACTCTTTTTCTACTTACCATTACCTGCGCAATCCCCAAGCACAGCTGTTCCAGTAACGGGGTGGGGCTCTTGTCGCGGTTAATCAACACTCCCCAAAAATCGGCGCCCTCATTGTGGACGGAGGACATGGCCGGACAAGAGTCTGGGCCGCGTCGAAGACATTTGAAGGCAGCGACCGCGATCGTTGCATTAATGAAGCTGGAGTGGCAAGGCGAATAAAGCTGGACAGATGGGCAGAGTAATACCGCAGCGATCGATAAGTGTATCCAGTCATGGACAGTAACAGGCCACACACTCGGCGGTTAGGCACCCATCGTCATCGCTCCACTGTGGGGGAGCCCAAATGATGATGCTGTTTGCTGGCAGGCGGTCAGCCCGATCCGCCTCATTTACGAAGGAAAGACGAATCAGGAGGGAGACGAAAATGGAACCTGAGGATGGAAGGTTGCAAGATGCAGCAGTTTACCTGCAGGAGACCCGTTTGGTCCCATTTCGTGGCAGGGATATCGCTCAGAGTGCCTGGGTGCCTGAGCAGGTGAACAAACAAAAAACCCCGCATGTGCCTGAGGAGTATGGCCACCAAGGCCACCAGTCAGGTGCACGGATCTTACCGACCTTAGGATCCATACTCTCCGAACAACTTCTTTTTTTCTCTCATCACTCGAAAAAATAACCAAAAGTATTTAGAATAAATCGAAAGACGACACTTTATTTGCGAGTAGGAGTTATATTGAATAATTCTCAAATTTGAGTAAGTTACCCTGTTGAGTGTTATCCAGTGGTTACAAGTGTAACCAATATCCTTTCCACAACAGAATATATATATATATCTTGTGTGGCTATTGTGTTCTTCCGATCCTTATCTTGTCCTCTCTTGTAGCTTTTATTACACCTAGTTCTTTATTTAAATAGATTTGAAATTCCATATGTAGCTCCGTAGAGTTCCCCCCACCCCTTTAGGTGGTCTTTGTATTGAGTTGTGATGATATTCATACCCGGCGGTAATGAACGAGATATGCTGTGCACTATTGTCTCCTCCCTGATCAGGAGAGCATTCTTCGTGTAAAAATAAATAAATTACCTAAATATGATTTTCTGTCTTTAAGAAACTTTGAGCTTGATTCCATGACTCGAGTTTTGGAACTCGACCTCAAGACGGAAGGAAGCCACATAATCCCGCCATAGTTCAACGAAAAATGCAAAACAGCTCGGATATACATTCGTCCCATGAATGTTGACTGTGTTGAGGTGGTCTGAACCAGTTGCACGTGGGAAGGGGAGAAGAAAGAAGACTTGGCATGTAAGTGCGCTGCGAAGATCCCTCCTTCGTACAAGTTACTCCTATCCAGAGAACATCGAGTAGACGTGTTGATCGATGAGGAGCATTCCTTGAGATCTGGCTTACACAAAAGTCTCTCAAGATGTACCGCGCGCAGATCAACCCTCGGAGAGTCGGTAAGAACCTGAGTTTAATCTCTTGGGCTCTAATTGAAGGGGGTTTCAACCACCCCATCTGAGAAGCTTCTAGTATATTAATTAACGCCTTCTACTCTAATGGGATGTTAAGTGATCGACCTGATAGTTGACTATCATGTCACCGAAAAAGTCGCTAAAATCCAAATTGCTGAAACTAGTTCCAGACCACCCCATCGAGTTGTATGGCATAGACAAACAACGGGGATGCTTGGTGAAGCTGGCGAGGTATAATTGGTTAGCGTGCCGCCGATCAGAGATTCCACAGCGGGCCTTAGACTGGTCCTGTCATTCCAGTGGGCTTGCACCTGGAATGCGAAGCCCCAATCTGCTACATTCAATCCGATGGAAGAATGAGTAAATATGGAGAGATGGCACAACACTGTTGTTGGGGCGTGCGCACCGTGTCCCCTTTTCAATTCTCCGTTTCTTTGTCTGGGTGCTTCTCCTCGAGTCTCATTACTTTCGAGGAGACAGCCTGATCTGTCGTCGCCACTCGCAGATTGATTGAACAAAAGACCCAATTTTTATTCTGTCAAGCCCTTTGTTCAAATTATCATAATTTCTATTCTGAATTACTCTCCTCTGCTGAGAAAGAAGGGGGAGGCAGTGTTCGTGGCACAAGACGCCGGTACCAAAGTGAATTCAGTACACGCGAGAATTACCCCGACCAACTTGATATTTACCACTAGACCCTCGTACCATCCAAGAGCTACACCTCGCAAGTACACCAACACACCCCATTTCAAGGGCCGATTGGAAGCGGTCCCTATGTCTTCCAACGTGTAAACAAGAAACCCCACAGAATGGCTCTTGTTCGAGATCCAGCATTTTGGAGGCGCTTCTCACGCGCCATCCATCTAGACGAGGAAGCAAAGGCTTCAAAGATGGAAAATAAGAGCGGTGTTATTTACTCGTAAGCTCGACCGACCTTATCCCCCGGCTTTCTGCTTGGGACAACGATGCCCGGGCTTCTAGATTATGTTCACTAACAGCCGAACCCAGGGATGACTGGATTCTGAAGCAACGCAAGAAGCGACGTCGATGGATCTGTTGTGGCTTCTTGATATTTGCGGCGTTTGCTATAGTGGTTGCTGGTGCCGTGGTGGTTCTTTGGTGGTTCCATTCTCACAATTGGTTACGCAAGTCGTAACACGCCAGGAGGGCCGATACTGGCGGTATATCAACTTCAAATTTATGTCACGATTGCCTGGTGCATGCTCACTAATACGGGTCCCGGTTCTATGTGGATACGCGGGCGTCGTCTACAACGGGGCAGCCCACGATAAACTGGATATGGCGATGCTGCAGACCACGCGACAAGGAAGCGGCATAGAAATGCAACTCTACCATTCATCTCGCCGTCCTCTTACAACACAGCAACTCTTAATTAATATTTGAGTTATCATTGAGCAGGTCTCATGGGCGGTTTTTTGACTTTGAAGGCGTTGAAGGTTCTGACTTAATAGGAAATACCCAGGATGTTTCGATTCCATGATGTCACAGGTACCTCGCCTTAGCCTGTTTGCTTTTCTCACTGAACATGTATGATCGAGTATTAGCTGGATTCAAATGTATGTCTCCTATTCTGTGATGTATGCATGCCCTTTCGCTAGCCTTGGTGCCTATCTGGTCAGGCATCACTTCGACATAGGTTAATCGGGGGAGTGGTGAACAGTGTGTGGGCTTAGCCAATCAGAGGTCATGTTACGGATCATATTTATCTCGCGATAAAGGAGAGATAAGAAGAGAAGAGAGGTTATTTACAATGCTCTCGTCTCGTCGTACCTGTCCGCATGGACTTGCCTGAAAGGGTTGACTAGATATCCGGCAGTCGGCACAATAGCAGTCACGTGAGGCCCTGCTGCAGACGCTCAACTGCTGTCTATCTCTGCTCTTGCAGCCATATCAATCGTGAATAATGAGATTATGGAGTAAACAATGTATAGCTGATCGAAGCGATGAATGTCTCCTTTATAAAGGATTATATGGGAGGTCTGTAGTAGGCTTTATGGGAGCTTGAAGTGCCTTAATGGCTCACATCTCCGGCAGCGCTTATCAGCGGGTCCTATCGCAGGTCTCTCCGCACTGTCGTTCCCCCGCAATAAATAGAGCTCCAATTCCGCTTCGTGTCGCATTCCTTTGACTTCCTAAGTTATTCTTCAGAGTTTCCTGTAGGAATCTCCTCAGGCAAGCTTACCATTCAAGATGCTTCCGCCGTTTGACTATTTTACATATCGTAGTGTTCGGTAAGTCTCCACTGTCAACCCGCTCCACTACCTTGCGGAGCTATAGTGTATAGCTACCCATTCGGCGGTGGAATACCAATTAACAACCCGCAGGGATTACAAGAGAAGAGAACGGGCTGCCCGCTTCGCATCTCTCCCCGCAGCATATCATGCCCCTTTCACAACCTTTGACAAAGCCGTTATCAACAAGCCCATTGAAGAGCTGGTCCAGGAGGTCCAATCCTCCTCGATTTCGGCCGCCGACATACTCCAGACATACGGCAAGGTAGCCGTCAAGGCGCAAGAAAAGACCAACTGTGTAACAGAGCTTCTTCTCCCCGAGGCCGAGTCGTGGCTACAGTCAGAAGTCAACCTCAAGGGCCCCTTGGCGGGTGTGCCCGTTTCCTTGAAAGATTCGGTCCAAGTCAAGGGGTTCGATATCAGTCTCGGTTACACACGGCTGGCTAAAAATCCATACGCTGAAGATGGCCCTATGGCGAAGCTGTTGAAGGATGCTGGTTAGTGCTGCAGACCCTGTACATGGATAGACAACTTCTGACCTTTCCTAGGTGCTGTACCCTATGCAAAGACGGCACTGCCAGTGACTCTTTTGTCCTTTGAGTCTGCTAATGCGCTCTGGGGCCACTGCCGTAACCCTCATGTCCCCGAATACTCCCCTGGAGGTTCGACCGGTGGTGAAGGTGCGCTACTAGCCTTGGGGGGCCGTATCGGCATTGGCTCGGACGTCGCAGGCTCTGTTCGTGTCCCTGCTGCCTGGAGCGGCATCTACTCCCTACGCTGCAGTACTGGTCGCTGGCCTAAGGTGGGGGTCAACACCAGCATGGCCGGCCAAGAAGGCGTCCCAAGTGTCTTCAGCCCAATGGCTCGTACCCTGAACGATCTTACCTACTTCACCAAGGCCATAATTAGTATGAGACCCTGGAAGTATGACTACACCGTTCATCCCATTTCCTGGCGCGACGAAGAGGAGTCCGAAGCCAAGAGTAAAAGCTTGCGTATCGGACTAATGACCAACGATGGTAAGATCACTTATATTCCCGCCAAATTGCCCTCTCTAACCCTCCGCAGGCGTCGTACCCCCAACCCCAGCAATTGAACGTGCTCTCTCTACTACCGTCGCTGCTCTCAAGGCAGCCGGCCACAACGTCTCCGAGATCACAACCCCAGAAACCGCCGACCCCTTCACAGGTCTTCATCTCGCCTCTCAGCTCCTCAACTCAGATGGCTGCGTCACATTCAACTCCCACCGGTACAACTTCGAGCCCTCCGACCCAGGCGCCGACCAACTCACCCGCATCTGCAACCTTCCCCGTCCCCTCCGCTACCTGTACTACCTGTACGTCCGGTACATCAGACGGGACTTCAAATGGGCCAGCCTGATCCGCACATTCTCTCCCAAGTCCTCCGCCGAAACCTGGAAGCTGGTGGCCAAGCGCGAGTCATTCCGCGCTACCTGGCACGCCTGGTGGGATGCCGAGCCCCAGCAGTACGACTTCATCCTCTGCCCCGTCAACGCCACCCCAGCTCTCCCGCACAAGGCTATGCGCGATGCCGTCTCTTCCTGCGGGTACACCTTCCTCTGGAACCTCCTCGACTACACAGCCGGTGTGCTCCCCGTCTCTCACGTCGACGCCAAGCGGGACGCGCTCACAGCACCCTACAAGAAGATCCTCAAGGGTTTGGACGCTAACAACGCCATCGCTCAGGGCGCCTGGAAGCACTACGACGCGGCGAAGATGGCTGGACTCCCCACAGCAGTGCAGGTCGTCGGCAGAAGATGGCAGGAGGAGAAGGTGCTCGGATACATGGAAGCAGTGGAGAAGGCACTGGAACAGTACCGGGATCCGGCGACCGGGGAGAGCGGCAAGTATACTTTGATTGACCTTGACTAATTAGGTTGGGTAGGGTTACATTGAATGGGTTCTAGGAGTCTGTAATCAAGCTTTCAGGCTTGACGGGTTCGGTCGTACCGAGTGTGTCTGAGCTTTTGCCGCCCCATCAGTCATCAGATATCCAGTCGTGGTGACATCATATTCTCGGAAGATAGAAACATAATTAGGCAAGAGTCTAGACGGAGGTCACTCAAGTACATGCGGAACCCTACTGATCTACCATTGTGTCTCATTCATTGGGTGGGCGTCTCAATTCCATGGGTCGGCTTTCCGATGAACCATAGATACTTTGGCAGCCACATACCAATACCCTACCTTTTGTGAATTCAACCTTTCCATAAACACTTTAACTATGTATCTGTCTCTTGTACATCATTCTCAAATGAATCCTGATCATAATCGTTATAGTTTCATTCAAGTGGTTAGCATGGGTCGCAAAGGCAGAGAGAGAGAAGGTTTCTCGTGTTCAGGACACACCGCTTCGCCTCCTGGAACCCATGCTTCCATTTATGCGAACAAACAGGTTGTCATGTGGGCAACTAAGGGTTAATCAAAGTAGCGCCATGCGAAGCATCATCTAGGCTGACTTCCTGCTTCTCGCGGTCCTGACAAACACCTTGCTCACTGCCGGTGACTGGCGCACGGATGTGTGTAGAAAGGGGCAACGTACCTGTCGACGCACCCGGGATTTGAAACTCATGAAGTTACTTCTCCATGCGATAGGTGATTGGAGCCGCGCATGCTTGTAGCTACGGGAATGTTCCACCAGGGATGAAAAAAAAAAAAAGAAAAACAGAAGGCAAGGTACCTACAGCTTACAGGAAGAGTGGGTCATTCATGTCAGTTCAAAAGTGGAGGAGAAGTTAAAGTGAGATGACCACCTGTCCAATCTCCACTCAGCGCGACCTGCCATGCAAGGATGCCAAAGATGTGTATCATCTAGTACTAGCTGGCAGACGTGATGGCATCCTGTAAGGATTCTAGAGAGTGCCTGCTGGTATTCTAGACCCGTCGGTGCTTTTGATGGCGTGCTTCTAGTCAGTGAAGTAAGTGGTTGCCAGCAATTATAGGACTGCTGCTGAATCTCTACGCTCCGCCGTGGAGATGAGGGGATGGTGAGGCAGCGAGAGTGGAATTTCCGAGTTATCGGTTTCGTGCCGGGCCAGATACAGGGTCCAGTCCATAATGCCGGGGTAAATTCCGTCATCGCGCGCGAATCTCTGGGTAGAAGGCTGGATTGACAGGGTCTTAACCGTTTGACTCCGCATGTGGCTGCAGAGGATGGCGCCTCGTGTTGTTCAACCGAATGGTGCTGACATGCGCAAAAGATTCCTCAGAAGCATGTTGTCGAAAACTTCACGAGCAGACCAATAACTATCCTGTCGTAACCGTGGATGTCGGTGTTCGTACAGCGCCGAAGGCGGCAGAAGGGGTGGGCAGGATGGTGAAACAGTGGTTCAGTCATAAGCGGTGACATGCGAATAGCGGTTGGGATAGGGATAAAAGTGAGAAAGCATCAGCCAAGCCGCATGAACCGGTAGGAGGCATGTTGATCATTTTACAACATGGATTCTTGAAATGGTGGTGTAACTCTAGTGTTCCTCGTTGGGTAGCCTCAATTCAACGCCATTTGGTGCCAATGTCGTCAGGCTGATTGATTGTCGCAGACGATCATATGCAGTTCGAATCAATATCTGAGTATCACACTGCTTTTTTGTGAGATGTCACCTTGGCCACTTGCATGGTCTGAGTGGACCCCGCAAATTATGTCCAGGCACGCCTATTGCTTAGATTCCAATAGTCAACCATCGATGGGGCGCAAGGGATGATCTTCCCGGAAAAACAGAGACAATCACATAGTTCAAGTATTAGAGTGATAGTGAAAAAGAAAAAATAAATAAAAAATGTGAGAGGTCACATTTTAGGGGGTCAAAAAGAAAAGAAAGGAAAGGCAATGAAGCTTAATCATAGGATAATGAATAACCAAATCCACATTAGGAAAAGAATTTAGCAAAGTGTTCCGAATGTAAATGAAGAACGATAGTTTTTGTCGATCCACCATGCGACTCAGATGAGAAGACCTAGAAGGATAAGTTTATTGGTAAAAATAGGTGGAACCACAAAGCTCTTGTCAGACCAAAGTTAAATGACCTTCTTGACCCATGAGAGGGGGAACCAAGGAATGCAAGAAAGAGAGAGAGAGAAGAAGAAGAAGAAGAAGAAAAAGACAAAAAGCGTTCATCAACTCGGAACCCACCGACACCACTGACGAAGATCCGGTGCGGGTCACGGGGGGAGTCCCGAAGAATGGAGGCGCCTCCCACTTTCTTCATGCGTCGATCTGATCTCTCTTTTTTCCTTCTTCAACTGATCCTTTTTCCTTCCTCCCTCCACTATAATTATTAACTATCTGCTAGTTCGTTGGCTAGTCACTGAATTGTTCCAAATCCCGTCCTCAAGTCTCAATCTTTCCCCACGAAATTTAATCCCCTCGTTCCCCTCTCACTTTTCTCCTTGTGGGCCGTGACTCTCTATCTTTCCTTTGACCCTCCTTTAAACTAATGGCGACCATGTCGCCCATGATTAAGGCCGCTTAACCGCGCGTTCCCCTTGTCCGAACTACAGCATTGGTGTCTCATTCCCATTCCTAAATCCTGCCGGCCACAACTTGAAATTAACAGTTAGTATACTGCCCCGAAACGCGCACTGCCAGCAGCAGTGGGCACCTGGCGCGCCGTGCAGCTGAACGGCAGCAGAATGCTGGTTTGACGCCCAAATTACACATCGAACCTAGTTAATATATGTGATGGGCTGTGTCCGATTAAACGGGTGGAAATGCCTCCAAGCAAAGGCGCTACTGGGCGCACAAAGGACGCCATTCATTTCGTCAATGCTCGGCCGTCCTCGGAGAGAGAACGATTAAAGATACAGCGCTTGGTTAGGGCCCATGTGGGCAAATGGATTTCCCACCAAACCAAAGATCGCTCGATAGAATCCGAAGCGAATTCGAGCCGTGATGCGCCTCGAGAGGATGGGTCGCGCACGGTTGATCTTGATGGAGACGAGACGATGCTCAACCTATACCCCCCTTCGTTATCCTCTCGATCCTCAGGTTCATCTTGTTCACCTGAATCAGCTTCCTCGAATAACAGTTTAACGGTTGTACAAACCGTCCCTACCAGTGTCTGGGATGCACAGCCGACAATGTCCGTGGTCCCCACTTCTCAGTTATATCTTGATAGCACGGCAAATCAGTACGACAATGAATATGAGTATGACTATGGCTACGATTCACAGGGGTCAAGTCCAGAAAGCTCCAGTCCCCCTGGCCCCCTCGAGCATATCGAGACCATCGGTGCGAATTTCATCGATCCTTTTATGACCTACCCCTGGCGTCATTCTCCAGAAATTGCCAACGCATGCCAGGCATATTGTAAGTAGGAGATGAAGCATCATTGACGACCACTTTTGACGGCTGGAGAAGCAATTATTAACAAGTACTGTTAGGTACATCCGTTTTATGGCCTACCCTCACTCCAGGGGCCAGTAGATCGGATGTTTCGGCCTTGAATTGGTTCCCCTTGATGATGTCTGAGCCGACTCTAATGACGGCCATCACGTTCGGTTCACTCTCACATCAACGGGTGCAGTGGCTGAACCGGTGGATCCCAGACGGAGCATTTCGGGAGCGAGAGCAGCAGCTTCTAAGAGTCTGCGAAATGGAGACCATCGAGCTGATCAACCAGGAAATGAACAAGCCAGGCCGAGCGATTAGCAACGCGGTCATTCTAAGTGTAATGTGCATGGCACATAATGCAACAGATATTAGCGAAGAACGACAGTTTCGACACATTCCGTTCACGTCACCCATGCGGCGGTTGCAATGGATCGACGTCTATGGCAGTCTGCGGCCAAACCTGGTTCATGTCCAAGGTTTGATCTCAATGATTAACCTTCGGGGTGGCCTTGAAGCGATCGACCTACCTGGGTTGGCTCCCGTAGTGTCTCTGTAAGTCGCTCCACGTGATTTGAGTTACCAATTCCAACCTGACAGTCCATCCTAGGTCGGATATCGTGACCTCGAGTGCATATCATACGCCTCCAGTCTTTCCTTTCATTCCGCTTCGGGCGGAGCGGAAGAAGGTTCCATTGCGAGACATGCTTGGGTATACCATGGCCGATGTTGACCGTCATTACGGCCGACTCAGACAGATCGGTTTTACCACAGAGATGATGGAGGTCTTCCACGCTATGGACCTTTACATGAGTATTGTGGATGCTTACCTCAAGGGCAATCAAATCAGAACGGATTACTCCCTGCTTGCCGACCAGCGTAATTTGGTCCAATACACCTTACTATCTCTCCCTGCGGCCAGTCAACTCCCTGGCTTCAGTGGCTATCATCAACGCCATGAGATCATTTACGAAGCCTGCCGTCTCGCGGGCTGCATATATGGATCTGGCGTGGTCTTCCCCCTACCGCCACAAAGCACCCCACTGGCTAAACTCTCTGGCCTTCTCAAGGGTGTTCTCGAGGTTCCCGACTGCCTAACTGTCTGGGACCAACCGCAAGCCCGCGTCACCCTTTTATGGGTTTTGACCCTGGGTGGCATCGCAGCCGAAGGCACTGTGGACCGAGACTGGTATGTGGCCACGCTTATGCAAACAGTACGATATAGTCACATTACCTGCTGGGCCGACCTTCGGGCGATCGTCGTCCTGCTACCCTGGTACGACGCAGCCTGTGACGATGCGGGCAACAACCTCTGGCTGGAAATCGAGAGACTGTCCGCTCGTCCATCGAACTCAGATTGAACATGTCCGTTACCTCTTATATAGTACGGTTTCGGGCAAATAGTGCATTTAGATTGGGGGGTCTTATCGGCTAGCGTTGCCCCTTGGTTTTCTTCATTATACATTATTACATTCATCCTCTCTTCATGATTTTCTCATTTCTTACACCCATCACAAAAGTTTGAGGCGGGCTATGACTTATGATAATCACGAGGGGTTCGGAAGGAGTACTGGTTAGAGATCAATTCTTTGCACACCTGGGATATCATCGGTCTTGTATGATATGTGTGGATTATATATCTAATTAAATTTAATGTTGTATTGAGAGAAGTACAATTCATAGTATACAAATATATTGATAATTCCATTCGAATGCAGTACATACAAGAGCACAATAATGACCGCTTATCCTTTCTCGCAGGTCACACATGATATATGTCTCTACCGGTAAAAGCAAAAAAAGCCCGTTACGCTACTCTACAAATTAATGAATGTTACGATGGACCTGAAATGCCGTATGACGGCGATTCTGCATGCCGCGCCACGTTCGACGGAGGCCGATACAACAAGGGTTCCCGCTCCCAATCTCTAGTTGCGATACCATCGTGGTCATTGGGGATCTGGGCATCTCCGTTCTCCAGGATTCTAAGTCCTGGCTTTGTGGTGGAAATGGTCCCTGCTCTCCACCAAACGAAACCAACCAATCCGATACCGACCAAGCAGGTCACGAGGGTGAGGATAGCATTTACAGGGATTGGGTTGCGGTGAAATACCTTGAAGGTGAGGGCGTCAAGACCTGCTTGTGCAAAATTACCCAACCCCGATAGGCAGATGATGAGCCCATAGACCTTCCCGAATGTCTGGAAGCCGAATACCTTGGCTGCGTAGTCCGACACAGCGGTGTAGTAGAACGGGCGATAGATGACGAAGATGGCGATGTTTGTGTATCCGGCTTCAATGCTATGAGGAATGCAACCGAGAACACCGATCACGGTTGCGGTTGATACGAGCACGAGGAGGACGAAGGGGGTACTGGCGTTGTCGAGGATAGCTCCAATGAAAGGCACAGAAATAAGACCGCCAAGGGGAAGAAAAAAGTCAAATAGTTCGTTGATCTTCCGGGCTTGTTCGGGCGACCCGAACAGGTATTCGTACTGCTGGCGCATTGAGGCCACGAAATAATTGATTCGGAGCATCTGGAGTACAGTGAAAAGAGTGATGAGGACGAACCATGGGGATCGAACTTGTTGTAAAGCCGAGCAGCCGTGCATTGCACCCCAAACACCACCGGTGGTGTTCTGGGGCTTTGTTGCTGATGGGGTATCTGGTTCGACTCCGTTGGCTCTGAGTACTGGTTCTTCGGTTCTAGATGCGTGATCAGGTCCTCCCTCTGTGAGGAGGTCCTGAATCTTGTTGACGATATCTTGGCGCTGAACGCGACGGTCATTCCGTTGCCGTTCGCCTTCATTCCGATCTGAGATATCATCATCCACCCTGTCGTTCGCTTCGGCGGAAATCTCGGCTTCTGCTTGTTGAACCAGCTCCCCAGCGGTTTTGTAAGATGTTGCTGGCATGATGGTCAGCTGTGCGGCTAGTATAAGTACTGGAACAATGAGGTAAGCTAAGAAGAATTTCCCTGTTGTGAACCGGTCGTTTGTGTTCTCGTTAATCAGACGGAAGATTAAGAACAGTGCGCTGGAGGCATCGAATGCACCTGTGAGCATGGACAGGATCAACCCCGAGCGGGTAGGAAATGTATTCGAAAGATGGAAGGATGAGATAAATATGAATGGTCCGCCCAAAGACAAGAAAAGATACCCTGGGATGTACCCGTCGAAGCCAATGCTACCTGAGAGTCCAAAAAGTATAGCACCAAGAGAAAGGAGACCGCTTCCAATGATTCCACACACGCGCGGGCCGTACGTGTCTAGAATAGTTCCGACTGGAAGGGCAGATACGTTGGTCGCCACAGCGGCTATAGTGAACATCAGGTTGAGACTAAGCGAAGTGTGAGTTGCGAATCGATCGAGCAGAGCAATTTGCTGGAGCACTTACCGAAGCTCTTGTGAGTAGCACACATCTTGGCGTTCATTTAGCTCCTCCTTCGAGCACATACTGTGGTAAACGCCTTCCCGAATTAACACTGGCTTCAGCGCCGCGAAACCAAAGACAACGCCCGCAGCGAGGAAACAGTAGATTACTGCAATACAGACCTGCACTTTATGAGAGATTAGCATCAATCAGAGGTAAAAAAAAGGGGGGGCTTGAGATTACAGATCCGTTTTGCCCGACCAACTTCAAACGCGCTAGTTGTCTCTATTATCGACGCTTCCTGCTGTTTCGCAAGACCGTTTTGTGTCGCCCTGTCTTCTCCCTCTATGTGACTAGGCCGGGGTGTCTGAGAAGGTACTCTTAGGAGAGAGCTACGCTCGTCTCCTGCATCCTCTACCGATGCCTCATTCCAGCCTGGTCCGGCATATGGGTTGAAATTTAAGCGCTGCCTGGAGACCGGAAAGCTGATTGTTGAAGGGAACGACGAAGATAGCGACTCTTCTGGGAGTTCGTGATATGCCGCATCATCTTCTGAATCGGGTATTGACGATTGATCTTGGCGACGGATTGAGGCTGGATTATGTTCCCATGACTCCAAATAGGAGACTCGAGGTAAGGACATACTAGATACACTCTATCTAGAATCAGAAGGGATGCCAGCGAGGAGCTCAGGCAAGAAAGTACCTTGCCTGACTTCTCTCTTTGGAATGGTATTACAATTAGGGCAATTGCTAGATCAAGAAAGGAATGGTGCTCCTTGCAGCATCCGAGCCGCTATTTGGGCGGGCTAGAGTAATAAAAGCTAAGCACTGTTCAAGCTGGCTGATACAAAGGATACAAAGAATATGATAGGATAAAATTGGTTAGATACCGTATTATAGAGAGGGAAAGGAAATGACAGCGTTTTGAGAGGCCCAATGCTGTACAGATCAGGAAAGATGGAAGGTGTTGGTAAGAGGAGGTGGTCATGATGATCATATCAATGATGATGATGTTGTTCAACGTGACCTTCTTCTTTGAGACTAGCTCCAATATCATCTGAGTGGAGACTCGAAAACCAGATGAGGTAATGATCCATGACTAGTTAGTTAAAACTTGAAATAGATCAGCACATGATCCCGCGTCTTTCACGTGACGCGTATGCAGGGCTGGCCGCGCCAAAAAATCGCAACATTTCGTCCAACTGCTTCTTGGCACCACACACATGGCCGATTAGCACGCCGGTGGGCCCCTTGGGATTGAGCCCCTGCCACAATTGACAGGAAAATGCCAAAATATCAGTATGATTCGCTCGGGCGCTTCAGCCTGGTACCCTACACTACTAGTACTATTCCCAAACAATACATTAAAGCCGAAGCCTGATGGGCGAGAAACAAAAAGGGCACTACTCGCCGGTGGACCGTCGTCTCCCTACTACTACTAGTAGCTGACTCGTACAGTTCCTAGTGTGTCGGCTTAGTCTGTTGGAATAAGGGCTGGACCATGCTCTCTTCGTGTTGACCCTCCAACGATTAGCCCATGTGGCGGCAGCAAGCAGCTTTTTGGACAAACAACGCAGAGTGAGTATGTTCCTTATCCAACTAAGGAGCATGAGTACGAGCAATTTTTCTGATAGAATTCACCCGTCTCGTACTAGCTACGAGGCTTGGAAGGAAGCTTACGGACAAGGCCGCACATCCTATCAATGGCGTACGAACGATGAACTTATCTAGTGATCCCCTAAATTTCATACAATACAATACGTTGGGAACAATTCCATTGTGTGAGTCCAACATAATCGGCAAACCTACGCCGGTTCAGTGGCTGCAGATCGTAAAATTTCGAACCCACCGATGTTAATCCATGCGGAGGATGAACCAGTGGCCGGAACACGAATTACGAACATCCAGGGTTCAACCCATGAGGTCGCCATGGTTCAATCCCGCCACAGGGGATGGGGGAGGGGAAAGAAAAAGGGAAAAAAAAAAAAAAAAAAAAAAAGCTATGGTCCATGCATGTGAGCTTTAGATGGATGGCTTACCCATGGCTTGAAAACCAAGCCCGTTGGAGGCCCTGGGTGACTTTTGCCGTGGAAAGCTGAACGATGATTTAAACAATTCTGGAAACTCCGTGCTCCACCACGAGATATAGTGAGGCTACGGACACTATCCGAAAGTCTTAAGTGGTCATGATAGGCATGGGCCGGTGGATGATGCCTGGGGCTATGCGCCCAACTTAGTTAAGCGTGAATAAGCGTTCCAACAACCAGCTCCAAGGGTCGAAGATTAAATGGACCCTAAGCAAAAGGACTGCAGTTTGAAATGCCGAAGCGCTGTTCATTAACCTAAATGAAATTCTCCGGCACGCAATTCTTTCCCAGTTCAAATCTGCGAACTTCTCCTTTTGGAAGGGATCCGAGGTAGACGTGTGTCAACTGGAGGGCACTTCGCCGGTGGACGACTATAGAGGGGCCCGGCTCCTTTTCTTGAAGCCGAGTTTGTTGCGGGCATTTCATCCAGAGACGATCATCGGCACGTTGCGGATTATCATCAGCGTTGCTGGTCCACAGGGTCTCCTACCTATACTACTTACGAGTAATGGAAGGGACCGGCAGCTGTAGCAATGTCCACATTTGCTCCGAATTTACGCCAAGGACAACCTTCTGTAACTCCTCCCTAAGTCTGTCTATCGGTTATCTGTTACACTAGCTTTCTCTTCCCTTCTATTGTCCTCTCCTTCTTGTAGCCTAGGAGGGTGGTCATCGCCTCCACTCTAGAGGAACCATCCCTGCGCTGGGCCTTGAACTGTTTAATATTAATTAAGATTGTTCAGGACCACTTATCGCGGTATCTGTCACTGACGCGGTCACGTTTAGCTTCACCTTAGCGTCTCTGCCCTTTCCCACTGCTTCTCCTCGCTTCTTATGTCCGCTTTATATGACTCGTATCCGTTGCTTTCCCCGGCGTTGGTATTCTCTCTGCCGATTCATGGCTGTTGCGGGTATCTCTAGCCGAGAGACAGTTTTGAGTATATCGTAATGAGGGGATGGTGAGTCCGAAGGCAACCCATCTTGCTCCTTTTCGCCGCGCCAGCCGCTTGTCTAACGCCTGTAATCTGCTTACAGTCTTACATGTCGCCAGCGCCATCTGAAATGTAACTATTCGCCTGTCTCAATCATATTGATCCTTCTTTTGGCTCCGAAACCCTAACATTACCCTTTAGGTGACAAGACTGGAGCCGTGTGCTTACGTTGTCAACGATCGGGCCGGCAGTGTATTCCTGCACCATTGAAACCAGAGGAGGTTACCTTTCGACACGGCCAGAACCCTTCCTTGCGGCCTAAAGGGCCTCCTCGTTATGGAGAAAGCGACCTAGCATTTCCGGATGATCAGATCTGGGTTAATACACCGCCTGACGGTGCGTTTTATCCCCATGGCAATGTGGTAGATGGTGAGATCATGGGAGGCCGACGCATACTAACCGTCCCGCAGTTGCTTTTGAAGACGAGATAGACCGTACAGCGGCCGACTACTACGTTGTGCTAGCTGGGGCGTCTTCATTGTACCTGAGGAAAGCATCTGAACGTCGAGCGTCAATCTCGGGGTCGACGTTGCCACCTTCAACATCTTCCCTCCTGTCCCCTGCTCTTTCTCCGGGAGGTCTAGAGTCATCCCGATCACCGCTTGAACTTCCCCGCGGCACGATCAATAACCTCCTGCCGGCAGACAGTATGGGAGATCATCAAAAACTGGGCAACCTAAATGAGGCTTTTCTCCTTCGACACTTCCGGAAAACAATTGGTGCATGGGTGCTGAACACTTACTTCTGTCGACTTAGAAACGGGAGCATCACTAACGTTTGCTATATACACAGATGGATGTATGCGACCATGAGAGGCACTTCTCAGTAGATGCAGTCGAACGGGCACCTTCGTCCTCCCTCCTGTTGTATGCCTGCTTGGCTACCGCCGCCCGTCACCTCTCTCAAACGAACAACTCAGTCCCGCCGAATGCTGCAGATCAATACCACGAGCAATGCATTGCAATTCTACTGCCGGTGGTGGAAAACACCGACTTTAAAATTAACATCGAGATACTTCTCGCCTCAACAGTGATACTACGCTGTTTTGAGCAACTTTCTTGTTTGTCAATACCATTTGAATCCTTAGTGAGTGTAGTGTTTACTGACAATTTCGACAGCTTGTGCCCTGTCGCAAGACCTACAACGGCACCTCTTGGCTGGCTCAGTGTATATCGGCTCTCACGTCGAGTGTGCATTTTCTGGTGGACTTGCAGAGGCGTCGTTCTGGGCCTTTGTTATGCAGGATGTGCAGTTTGCATTGGCAACTCGAAGCCCTCTACGTTTGACCATTGGACCTTTCGAAGAAAGGCTACGTCTCGCTTGGGAATACCGTAGCGCTCAAACCGACCGGGATTGGGCCCGTCGAGCTCTATGGCTGCTAGCCGAAACTATTAACTACTGCTATGAACCAAGTAGCCCGGCTCACGTGAGTTCTGTTGTTTGGGACGTCCTGAAAAGGAAGATTTGTGATTGGGAGATGCAAAGACCGGATAGCTTTCGACCATTACATTTCTCTCCTGCTAATACAAGCCTTGGGAGACCGTTTCCTGTTGTATGGTTTACCAGCGCATCACACGGTATGCTCTCGGTATATCATCACCTGTATATGGTTACATTAACAGCTAATACTCCAGCAGCTACCGCAGCGCAACAGATATGCATGGCCAAAGCTTTGATACATGAGTATGAGTTGAGGGCTCAGCATTTTGTGACTAGCCCAAATCAAGATCGCAAGACGATCGAGGTAGTTCTAACATATCAACGATTGAAAGCACCTTACTGACTCTAAATATAGAATGATATCGTGAGAAATTTAAGTATCGTTTTAGGCATTGCCCTTTCGGCCGACGATGACCCTCCCGTTCGCATCATGGCCTGCCATGCGCTGTCTGCTTGTAAGTGCTTCATCACACACCTTGAATCCCATTGCGTTGCCGCACCCTTTGTTAGAAGGCCTCCACTCAACACCCCGGGGGCTATACGCCGTTTGGTCGCTAGATGGGATGCTAACCCATCACTAGGCGGCTCATGGATACGTGACCCACTAGCGCAAACGTGTCTTTTAGACCTACTTCGAAGGACAGAAGCAGAGAATGGATGGCCATGGACATCTCTGGCGCAAGCACTAAGTCAAAACTGGCGCATTACGGCGGAATAGTACGACTACCAAGGTATCTACTTTACGTCGAGCGCGTTCTTCCACACAAACCGTCTCCCCCCCTTTCTTTCCTTCATAATCGGTGCATACAGAGATGTATAAAATGTCTACACAGGCCTTCCCAGCAGACGAGTCTGGTGAGGCAAGATCTACCGAGTCGAAAATCTACACGACAGGCGGGACGGACACAAGCTAAACTATTTGCTTTAGGCAATTTGGGGCTCCCGCCGTTGCTTCGCCTTCCCCACCCTCTTCGAAGCCGTGTGGGGACCCTGCCATGTGCCGATAACGCTTCGTCCGGCTGAGTTCGAAGTACGAATTTCGAATACGGTATGTCTTTGTGGGGCTGTGGTTCATTTTTATCGGCCACCGGGCTAATCTAGGCTACAACACGGTAGCTTATCTGGTCCAAGGACACACGTGGGTTCGGTTTTGTTATATACCTAGAAAGGCACCCCTTACGTATGCGATTGCCGAAAGTAGTCAAATGATAGAGAAGAAGAATAATAGATAATTCCCACGCCTGCGGGGCTATGGTTTTGGAGGCTCGAACCCCTCCCATTCAAATATAGTAAGTTGAGTCGGACCCGGCGTTGCCTAGACTTTTCTTCAGCATTAGACACATCCCCAACCTATCTCAAACGGGCTATAACAGGTTGTTCTATAAGTTTTTACTAACCGCATACTTAGAGTGGATTACGCCCCTTTACCCCCCTTTTACGAACAGGCCTGATATGATATAGCCAACCTTGACAATGATAACCAACACAAACGTCATTTTCGGCACATATCCATGTAGCTGCTGAATTAGCCGGCAGAGACCAAACGATAACATGACGAAGCTTCATGTAAACATCCAAGACAGGATCGGCAACACGTCATATTCAGTTATAATGACTGACTTCTGGCGTACGTGGTGTACCCTGGGCCTCTCCTCCCTTGTCACTCCTTTCTCGGTAACTGATTACGAAGGCACATACATGGGCGAAACGAGCCCTAATCGCCAGGATCCAATGGGAGAAAAACACAAGAAGGGGAAGAGCCTGTCGATTGTACCCTAACCAAAGAGCCAGACGTCCACCTCCACACAACCACACCGAAGCCACTCCGTACATTCGGCGTATGTGCCACACTTACTTCCATACGGAGCGCCGGTATGTAGTTGTGAAGTTCCGAAAGGATCCCAGCTTGCATCGGATCTAGATCCGCGACCACCGGAACAATAAATATACTTTCACTGCCGGTGCCGAGATACCTTAAACCTTATATAACATGAACTTACATTTTTCTTACCTCTCTTTTGTTTCTCATCAACCTGGCGCTCGGATCGTTTCATAGTGGATGTTTTGACTTTCCTATAGTACACTTTATTATAAGTTGCGGGTATACGGAACTACAGAGTAAGATGAACTCCATTGAATATAACCCGTATACTCCGTACTTTGCCCTACATCATCTCACCGGATCAAACAAAAAAAAAAAAAAAAAAAGGCCTCTCCACCAATTGGAAATAGTACAGCCACATTCACATTCAAGTGGGGTATCATTACCACAACCACCTGGATTAAACCACCCTCGTAAACATTCGATACCCCCACGCCGTCTCCCCCCTCAGAATTATCACCAGTACGAGTAAGTCCCCAGCTGATCAAACATCCCAATTTAGAAAGTGAACTCCTCTACCGAAATGCAAAAACCCGAGTAATGGCCGGCTTATGGTACCTTAGACCAAAGC